ATAATAAATGTGTTTTCTACATATCTCTATATATTCTATTGGTTGTTTCTCTGGAGAACCATGACTGATATACCCACTTGTTTGAAACACAGGTCTCTTTGAGGTCCCCACTTTATTTTAGCCTGGCTCCTTTACTCACAGCCTAGAAGTACTACTTGCATTCTCCTAGATACAGAATGCCAATTCTAGATCATTTTACTTTCCTATCAAGCAAAATTTCTTGTGAGTTGGTTCTATACCACCCCATCTATACCATTTCCCATCCTCTTCATCACCATTTTTTTCTTAATCCTCCATATTCATCTAGGTTTTTGGTACCAGGCTCACTGTCTTTCTCTCCAACCCAACCACTGCAAAAATGTCAAGGCCTTCATGAATGACCCATCAACTACCACACTCTCATAGTTCTGTGGTGTATTCAATGCTAATGGCTTCACTTCAGTCTACTTCAGCAACCTACGTTGCAATGAACTTTTGGTCTTGTCTTCACCTGGAACTAACTGATATACCTGGATTCTCACACATCAATTTCTTCCTCTCCAAACATACCCTCCTATTCTGCCAGTCCTCTCCTGTTTCTGTAAACCTACTCTCTTATTGACACCATGATGATCTTTAGTTCCTTGATTCCTCTTCTTTTCCAACTCTGTTGGTCCCCTCTCAGCATCACTTCCTTACCACCCAGTTCAGACCCCAGGGAATCTCACTTTTATCACTCTCCTACTAGCAACTTTAATTAACCCTGCTCTTTCAATTCTCTTCAGCACCTGGCAAGCCTGCAGTTCTGGACTCATTCACTCATCTGTGTTTTAGACTTCTTCACCCAAGCAGGATGGGTGGTACTGAGAAAAAAAAAAAAAAATCACAAAGTGTAGTGTAGGAACTAGTATCTCCACAAATATAGGAATCTAGTCTGAGCTGTACTCTCAAATCCTATACATCCTTTCTCAGCTTCTCTTTTTTCCTTTAAAGACTATTACAAACTTTTGTTTTTTAAGCCCTTTTCCTCACTTTCGAAAACTGGCTCTGCTAACTTCCCATTTCACAGAGAAAGTAGAAGCTACCAGAAATACTTTCCTCGGGGCTTCTCTGGTGGAGCAGTGGTTAAGAACTCGCCTGCCAATGCAGGGGACATGGGTTCAACCCCTGGTCCGGGAAGATCCCATATGCCGCGGATCAACTAAGCCCGCAAGCCACAACTACTGAAGCCTGCGTGCCTAGAGCCCGTGCTCCACAACAAGAGAAGCCATCGCAATGAGAAGCCTGTGCACCGCAACAAAGACCCAATGCAGCCAAAAATAAATAATAAATTAATTAATGAAAAATAAATAAATAAATACTTTCCTCAACTTGGCCTCCACAGCACCTTTTTCCTCCCAGATACAAAAGCATCTGTTTCCACTCCTAGCACTACATCTTTCTCCTTTGCCCTCCTTCTAGTTAATGCATATTATTATTTGGGACTCAACCCCCTTCCTTTCTCCTCAGGGGCTGTGTTGCCTCAGTTATCTCTTTTCCTTTTAGTTCTTGGCCTATAGACTGGATCAACTCATACCCCCTTAAAAAGTGAAATACCAAAGTACCTTCCTTTGGCTCTGATTCTCTGCTGCCTTCCACCCTATCTTTGCCTGCTCTTCATAGAAAAGCTTGACATCTCCACTTCCTTGCTGCTTCCTTTTGCTGTTGTTGTTTTAAAAGACCCATATACTTTGTAATCCATCAGAAACTGACTTAGACCACCACCATAACAACCAAGATGCTTTGCTAAGTGATCAGTGTCTTCTTAAGTTCCAAATCCAGTATTTATCTTCCTTGATTTCTTTGCTTTATTTTTGATAGTTAACCACTCTCTGGAACCTCTCTTCTTGGTTTTTCCTGTCCCCCTCCTAATTCTTTCAGATCCTTGTGGACCCTTCTACTATTTTTAAAATATTGATGTTCTCTAAGATTTCACCCTCAGATCTCTTCTCACTATATATACTCTCTCTTGAATAGTGCCTTTTGTTAACATAGCTGCAACTATCACCTGTATATCAGCGACATCCAAATACAGGGGAGTGATTTTTTTTCCAGTGGGAATTACGATTTAAAGTCAGCATGAAAGGCAAAAATAGAGTAGAGTTAAAATTACCTTTGAAAAATCTCCTAAAATACTGCATACACGATTTTAAATATATATATACTACCCACCAAGAAATCCTACACAGCCAGTTTTCCTCTGCTATTGGAACAGAAGGTTGTTTCTTTAGTTGAACACCAGATGAAGTTGTTGGCTTGCATTTACGGGGCCATGTTATAAGGAAAATATGTTTTTGTCTTTTTGCCAAGCACGTAGAGTAGAGCTAATATGTTAAGTAAGTGTAGGAGATAACTCCACTGTATATATTTTCAGCCTGACTTCTTTCATGAGCCCTGGACTTATACACCAAACTACCTACTGAATATCACCTTTTGGATATGCCAATCCAGCTTGTTTTAGTTAGAGTTCTAAAAGCTGAAGAAGTGAGATAAGTCACATTCAACTAAGCAAAGGCATTTATTAAAATGATAACAGTGATGTGACAAGGGTTTAACTCACATGTGGAGTGCTTTCCTATCTTCTGGGTTGATGTTCTTATTCCAGGCAGGTGTCCTTTAGCATTACACAGCTGCCGCAAGCCAGTCTGTCTGGCTAGAGCCATAGGCAGCTTCAGATTGGTGGAATCTCTAGGCCAAGCATCACACAAGCCAGTAACCTCTGGCTGAACACCTTTATTAAGACTAGTGGAATTCATAAGCATCAAGGAAGGCATTTCAATTCTTTACTGGCCCTTTCAAGTGCTGTGCTTCACCCATATATATATCACCTTAAAGACCATCCTCATGAAGCCATCATGACCCATCAGCCAAGCAAAATTCCAGCATTTCCCCATTGACTGGACTGAACATTTATAACAATTTGTATGTATTAAGAGCCAATTTTAGAGACAAGTCTATATATAGGGCAATAAGCATCACCTCCTCGAAAAGGGAACCCTCCTACACTGTTGTGGGAACGTAAATTAGTGCAGCCACTATGCAGAACATTATGGAGGTTCCTTAGAAAACTAAAAATAGGGTTACTGTATGATCCAGCATCCCACTCCTGGGCATATAACCAGAGAAAACTCTAATTAGAAAAGATATATGCAGCCCAATGTTCATAGCAGCACTGTTTACAATAGCCAAGACATGGTAGCAAACTAAATGTCCATTGACAGATGAATGGATAAAGAAGATGTGGTATATATATACACTGGAATATTCCTCAGCCATAAAAAAAAGAATGGAATATTGCCATTTGCAGCAACATGGATGGACCTAGAGACTATCATACTAAATGATGTAAGTCAGACAGAGAAAGACAAATAATATATAATATCATATGGGGAATCTAAAAAAACAATACAAATGAACTTACTTAACAAAACAGAAATAGACTCATAGACATAGAAAACAAACTTATGGTTACCAAAGGGGAAAGGAGGGGAAAAGGGATAAATTAGGGGTTTGGGATGAACAGATACACACTACTATATTTAAAATAGATAAACAACAAGGATCTACTATATGGAACAGGGAACTATATTCAATATCTTGTAATAACCTATAATGGAAAAGAATCTGAAAAAGAATATATAACTGCATCACTTTGCTGAACACCAGAAACCAACACAACACTGTAAATCAGCTATACGTCAATAAAAAGTTGTTTTGAAGAAAAAAAAAGCTTCACCTCCCCTTCATCATACACATCAAACAATATAAAGAATTAAAAGCATCATAATACAAAGCATTCAGATATTACATCAAAAATGTAGCAACAACTTTGGCCTGTTTCAATCCATATTTAGCATTCTAACAGCACATCACTTCAATGGGACTGGACAGCTTTCATGGTGTCCTCCTTCTTCCTGTCATCATTCATGTTCCATTATATGCTTTTTTTTTTTTTTTTCTTTTTGCTGTACGCGGGCCTCTCACTGCCGCGGCCTCTCCCGTCGCGGACGGAGCACAGGCTCCGGACGCGCAGGCCCAGCGGCCATGGCCCACGGGCCCAGCCGCTCCGCGGCACGCGGGATCCTTGCGGACCGGGGCACGAACCCGCGGCCCCTGCATCGGCAGGCGGACTCCCAACCACTGCGCCACCAGGGAAGCCCCATTATATGCTTTTTATTAGCATGCCTTGAGTATATATAGAATAAGGATGTCTCTTTACATCCTTCTACTATCTATGCCTACTTCTTTATATTATCAGTACCTTAATTTGAGGAAGACTGAACCATGCAGGGACATTCAACACAGTCAACTCTGGGTTGCAGAAGGTGGGGAACTGCACATTTGGAATGTCCCATTATTATCCTTTGCTGGCCATCACATTCTAGCTTTCCTCCCTTTGAAGTTGACCTCTTTACCTCCATTGTTATTCTCTTTAAGAACAACAGGATATAATCTATATCCAGATAACATTCCTTTCTTTGTGTCAAATAGATATTCAGTAAAGATTATAAATAATTTGCTCCCATCTAAAATCACAGACATTAATTTTAATTTTTTATATTGGAGATAGCATTCTTTATTTTTATTATAAAAAGTAATGTATCGATAATACATTATTTTTTCTTAAATCTGAAATAAAAAGTATGAAGAATAAAAGTCATCCATAATACACTTACATAGGGATATCCATTATTAATTTTTGGTTATAATTTACCATTTTTCATTAGGACCATAAATGAAGTCATACTTTAACACACTGATTTGTACCTGGTCATTTTTCCTTTTTAGAAAACACAGATTACATGATTATATTAATGATTGTATTATTCCATTGCTTCTATGTATCAATCTCATAAATTTGAAAATGTATATCTTTTTGTTCTCCACAGCCCTGCAAAGCTGGGATTATTACTAATTCCCTTATATAGAAATACAGATCCTGAGGTTCAGAGTGGGTAAGTGACTGCTGAAAATTTACATACCAAGTAAGTGGCAGAAATAAAGGTTGCTCTAGGACTTCTTGACTCCAAATTGGTGCCCTTTCCACACAGTGTGTCTCCTGTCTCTGTAATGAGATAATGCAGATGAAGGGGCTGGGCAAGTGCACCCTATTGTTATTTATTTAAAGAGACAGCCTAAAGGGAGTCATTGCCTCAGGAACAACTTCTGATTTGGTCTGAATCTAGGGCAACTTCCCGAATTAAAACTGCACAAAGGCTTCTAGGGCTGCAGGTTGAATTCTTCTTCATGCAAAACATCATTATAACACAACAGTATCAATATGCAATTGAATCCTACAATAAGAATTAATTCCTGATCAGTGAACATAGCCATACAACATTAAAGAAAACAGGTCATTATTGAAAAAGGACATTCAAATCTGCAAGCTTAACAGCAGACCCTAGGTATGTACATTGATCTTGTCTCATTACCCTTTTCCCCCCTTATTTTCTTCACCGAATGACAAGTGGAATGTCTAGCAGGGGAGGGCATCTTGCTACATTGGTCTAAGGAATCTAACCTGGGGCCTAGAAGGCAAAGGAGGTTGAACCAAAAATTTTGAAGAGTTTATGAGATTCTATAGTTCTCTGTTCTCTATTCATTGCTTGCCAAATCAATGGATTCTGGAGACAGAGTACTACAAGTATCCTGTTGAACTCTTTTTTCCCCACATAGTCCAAAGGTGTTATGCATTCTTTTATCACAGATAATTTGCTATTGATCTACTTTCTCATTTATGTCTTCTTGGCCCTCACACTACGCAGTTGGTCAAGATTTTGGTTTCCCTGGGGCAGCTGTCCTCTTATGCCTCCAAAGACTCTGGATTGACTTTCCCTTCAGGGTCCTGGACACTTCATTGAGACTTGGGACTAAAAGTCCACAGTGAGAACGTATTCCTATGAGGTTTTTGGGTACAAATTGCCAGGGCTTATTAAAATATAATTTTCAGAAAAAGATAAAATGATGACTTTCATACAGATATAAAAAAGGGCACATGTTAAAGAATTCATTTTACTCATATAATATGAGAGAACCAGGCAAAATGGGACAGCACTGATTCTTCCATGGGTAGGATGGGACAAATAAAATCACTACCGGAAGGACAGAAGTTACACATTTATCAATTACCCATGACTTACAAAGAACAGCAAAATAGCTCAATGAATAAGGCTAGAATCTAATAACCCAGAAGAATATGTTATAGACGCGCATAATTTTTTTAATACCCCTCCTTCAAAAATGAAAGAACATAGGGCCATCCCAACCAATTCCAGTGGAATAAGACAAGTAACCTGGATAATATCAGACCACTGCCAGAGAGATCCCTTTAGAACACTGAATTTCCCTGACAAATTTAAAACACAAGTTATAATTCCAAAATGTCCTCAAATGTTTAAAAGATAAAAATGTCCAACCAAGAATATTAGAAAATGGAGTAAATATCAAAATTCACTAAAATATTCCATAATTATTCATACCAGCTTTATTTATAATAGCCAAAAGCTGAAAATAACCTAAACGTCCTTCCCAGATGAATGGATAGATAAACTGTGGCAACCACCAATTTTTTTACTGTCTCTATAGTTTTGCCAACTATAGTTTTTTTCCTCTCATTCTTTAAGGTAAGTGCTATGTACACAGAGCTTCAAGATAAGTTTCTTATCTCTGTCGTCCAATCAGATTAGCTCCTCTCTTTCTTTTATGTAATTTACCTTTTCCTGAGGACCTCCTGGAAGGTGGTAGAGGACATCTGCCTACTACAGGCTGCAGCAGAGATAGCTATTCTCCCCCTGTATCTACTTTCCCCTTCTTCATTTTAATAAAACAATCCCACTTTGTCAAGGTTTGACTGAGCCCTTGGCTACCTAGCTAGAGACTGCATTTCCTACTTTCCATGTATCTTGGTATGGCCCAGAGGATATGTGCAGAAAGAATATGTATAAAAGTATTCATTGATTAAAGGAAAACACTAAATATAATACAGTTTGTATAACCCTATTTTGGATTTTTTTTCCCACTTTACAGTGTCTCAGCAAAATAAAATAAATGAAAAGCCAGAAGTCTCAAGTTCTATGAGGCCCTGTGGGAAACATGGACATTTAAAGTGGAATGGACAAACAGAAACCTGTGAGGGTGAAAACAAGAATGGTCAGGGAGCTAGAAGGAGAATCAAGGGATTATGGTTTTATGGAAGCTAAGGGAAGCAAGACTTTTTTTAGAAGTGATCAACATGTCCAAATGAAACAGAGAAATCCAATAAAATAAGGAATGAAAATGATTAATGATTCATAGATAATTACCTTCAGTCTCAGTTTCATATCAATAAAATGGGTATCTCATGTGGTTATTACAAGATTAAACTAAACATAAGCTTCTGGTTTGTGGTAGGTGCTCAATAAATTTTATACCTTCCTTTCTCTCTTTTTGTGATTAACTCATTGTTTTATTCTAATACTAATTACTAGTGAGAAGCCCTGCTCGAGGCTGGGTAGGCACTGATGACAGACTGCACTAAAGTACTGTGTAGTGTACAGCCTGCCAGTACTATCCCTTGCTTGGAAGTTACCTGATTTACTTTTAGTTTCTTTGGTTTTGGCAGGTGAATCATGAAACTTAAAAACATCTCAAATGCAAAAAAAAAATTTGTTAACATGGTGTGTTGTTAATGCATGAAAAGTTTGTAAATTACTGAATACAATGTAAAGCAACACATTCTTATCATTGTATTAAAGCTTTATGTTTTTACTTATTTCTATTTTTTGGCCCTGCCACACAGCTTGCGGGATCTTATTTCCCTGAACCTGGGTCAGGGCAGTGAAAGCACGGAGTCCTAACCACTGGACTGCCAGGGAATTCCCATAAAGCTGTATGTTGTAAAGATAACTGCTTAAAGTTGGAGACACCCACCCACTGAAATTCTCATTGCCCTGTGATTTTTAAAAAAGCAAGTGGATAATTTTAATTGTCAGCTGTCTGATTAATTTATATCTATAGTTGCTCAAACATGTTAGGACAGTTCATCTTTACTAGCAGAATCTTTTTTAAAATTGAGTTTTAAACTATTTTACATGCAGTAAAATCTATCCCTTTTATGAGTTTTGGCAAACAAAGATCTAGAACACTTCCATTACCCCTCAAAACTTCCTCAAGCCCCTTTTTAGTCATTCCCTTCCCTTGGTCACTACTGATCAGTGTTGTCCCTTTTTCAGACCCTTTTACTTTTAAATAATTATAGGCTCACAGGAAATTGCAAGAATAGTACATAGAGTCCTGAGTACCCAACACCTAGCTTTCTCCAGTGGTGACATCTTACATAACTGTCGTACAAGATCAAAACCATGACCTGCATGTTTGAAGGCAGATTTTCCTTTCACTTCTTTGCCTGTTTACTCTTTTCTTTTGACACAAATTTAATTGTTGTGTTAAGAGGAGCAGATGCTAGTTTCCCCTTAGATGTCTGCAGTTGCATTTTCAGTATTTCAGTTGGATCACCGCTGTTACTCCTACATCTTTCTCTAGTCTTTTCATTATTCCACCTTTTCCCAATTTAATTCTCCTGCTAGATTTTTTTTTTTCCTGAGCTTTGTGACACAGATGGTACTACTGCCAATTCCCGAATCCCTAACTTTTAACCTCGGTCTTTAAGTTTCAAAGGGGATGGTGCTTGTGCCTAATTGTTGTGTTCACAGTAATTTTGCAGCTTGCGTTATGAGAGCCGGCACGGTTCTCCAACCCCCGAGAGACGTTCTAGGGGCACTAAACGGTTCAGCTCCGTTCTTGCCCTACCTTTCACCATTGGTCATCCTTTTATTTTCCAGATACTTGGCTGTTTGTTAGAGGAGAGTATGCAGTGTCTCTCGAAACCGCTGGCAACCCCTCTCCCTCAATGCGCCGCCTTTGTAATGCGCTGAGGAAACAGCCGCACTTCGGCTCTTTAGGCCGTTGAAGTGCGGGGCGGGGCCTCGGCGGCCGCCGTAGCAAACTGCAGGGAGGTCACGCCTTCCGGCCTCCGCCCCACGCACGAGGCCCACGACGTCAGCCGCCCGCGCGAGCCTAGTCCTAGGGTGTGCGGGAGGTCCAGTGCGCATGCTCTGACTGGGTCGCCTCTGGCGACGGAGGCTGAGGGAGGTGTAGAGAGCGGTCTAACTAGTGGGCGTCTCTGCTGGCTGGCTCTGCTCCTGTGCCACCGCCCTCTTGGCCCCCGGGGGCCCGTTGCTCCCCTCCCCGCTACCGCTGGCTCGGCGGTACCTCGCAGGGTGAAGGCTCCCTCTCCCCGGCTCCCCTTCCCCCCACCCCGTCGCCCCGCCCACTCTGGGCTGGGCGGCAGGGTCAGGGGCCGAGCGGAGCCGGGTGAGTATTCCCACAACCTTTGCCGGCCGTTTCTTTCCGGCTCTGTTTCCCGCACGGTCCTCACCCAACTGCCGGGGTAGAGAGGAAGGGCGGGCGCGGGTGGGCGGGAAACAGCCCAGCCCCGAACAAAAGGCTGGGGAAGCGGGCCTCCCGCCGGTGAAATGCAGGCCGGGTCGCGCTGGAGCCGCTGGCGGGTGTGGATCGCACTCCTGGGCCACCATGGAGACCTCACCCTCGATTTAGGTAGTTACAGACCTGTGTTTAAAGCCTGTACCGAGACAGAAATTCTTTGCCTCGTAACCTTGAAACAGAGGATATGAAATTACTGGTGATTCCAGTGGTTAAGTGCCACTTAACTTGAAGGAGTTTCTAATCATCAAGAATTAGGAGATTTTCTTCCAAATAACGTATCTACTCAGCATTTGAAATCACGAATGGGGGGTGGGTGGGATAAAGGAATAGTTAACTGATTTGTAGAAACAAACTTTTATGATGGTAGAAATTATAAACATCTCTGACAAGGCGAAAGGATAGCTACATGTCTTTTCAAAGTCAAAATAGAGCCTTGTCTAATAGGCCCACCTGCGAATCAATTAATTATCTAGGGGACTATACTTTTGCTTGACATAGTATCGATTAGGGCCCAAGCTTTGCAGTTACTTTTTTTTTTTTGTCTAATGGAGCAAATTATTTCTGACTGGGAGAAAAAAATACTACTGATGATTATAGTTTTATTGCCCTATTTCCAAGATTTTTATAATTTTTACCGTTGAGTTTGCTCCTTCATTATGAGTTCAGTAAATCTTTGCCACAGGCTCACTTTGTATGAATCATGTTTATAACGTTTCAAAAATGACACTTCGACAGTGGCCTCACTCTTAAGTGGCAAAAGCTTAGTTTAAACTTTTCAGAAGTGGAAGGCATAGGCCCTATGTAGTGTTCAATTACATTATTAGAATCCTGCATAGAATCCTCCTTGCTTCTGAAGGGTCAAATATGGACAAGAGGAGACATTTACAAAATGAAAACTTGGCCAAAAAAAAAAAAGTTGAGTATTGAGAAAGTCAAATTAAAGTTTTGCAATTACAAGGTTTAAAAATTGATATTTTACTTGAAACTAGTGGAAACAGTCTTTTCACTGGTTCTAAACTGGATTCATTGGATATACAATAGAATGTTACAAGATTATGCTTTTAAGTTTCTGAGAATGATAAGCAACCCCTTAGGAAAAACAAGTAGGATAAAGTTTATCTAAGTAGTTTCCTTAAGACTGGGCTTGATTTGGTTATTAATATCTTTGAAGCCTAGAGACCGTTTGGGACCCTAGAGGCAGTGTTTGAAACATAAACATGCTCAGGGAACCATAACAGCAACAGAATGCCCTAGAGATTATTTGGTGATTAACAAATGTTTTCAGGGGCCAAGTGCAGCTGGGTATAAAACAACTGGAAAATAGGGAAACAGAGAAGAAACCCTATGTAAAAGCATCCAGATTAGGGGGAGGCAGCTGAAAACGATGTAGACCCAGAGGCTCCTCTAATGTACCTGGCACCCCAGGCCTTATTGAACTTGTAGGTTTATAGGACCCAGAAAGAGTATTTACTAATATGAATTTAGCTTTGAAGTTAGGGTTATTTCATATCGCTGTCATGTAATAGCTTTTCGAGAAAAACTTTTTAATCATCTCTTCTGAGTTCAAGAACTTACAATAGCTTCCTGTTGTCCTCTGTTTTAAATAGAATCTCTTTAGAGTTTTAAGGTGATTTAGAAACTGCTCCACTCCCCCTTCCCACCCCCAGTATTCCTATATTCCTTAATATTCCTAACACTCTCTATTTAGGCTCTTTACCTGTCTACTCTGCCTCATTTCAACCTGTTCCTAGATTCACTGACTGCCCCCACTCTTCATCATTTTTTGTAGCATCTCTGCCTTTCAGTATCCTTTTATACTTCTAGAATTATCTGAAATGTAACTCTTCTAGAGCAGAGGCTCTGGTTCCAGACTGACTGCCTTAGGTCAAACTGCCACATTTAACAGCTGTTACCTTGGACAAATTGCTTAACCTCTCTGTCCCAATTTCCTCATCTGTAAAATGGCGAAAATCACAGTGACTACCTCATAGGGTTGCTGTGAGGATTTAACAAGTTACTATAGTTTTGGTACATAGTAAGAGCTGAATACATGCTATTGTAATGATTATTTAATCCATAGTAATTCTTTAGACAGTGGTTGTACAATTTATCACTAATTTTTACTGTCTTTTATTGTCTAATGTTCTTTTCAGTTTGAATCTTTTCTTATAAATTTGATCTGTTGAGGGCAAAGATCATATATTATAATCTTTTAAAAAAGTCTCTTAAAGTTCTCCCAGGATGATTCTGGGGGCTCGATATATTTTTTCCCTATCTTACTATCTAGTTTTCTATTTTCTGTTTTCCATTTTACTTCTGTTGCTTATATTTTAAAATGTATACCCTATTTTGCTCTAAAAGTACTTACAGTAGATTATAAACTATATATAATATAAAAACATACAAAATAAAGGTAAATCAGTCATGAAAATATGAAGCTTGAATAGAAAGGTGAGGTTGGGGTGCATTATACTCAAATATATACTGTGACCATTTGTATAATTGTTAGTGGTGGGATACAGACTGAGTTATGAGTTTCATGATGGTCAGAGGAAAGAAGGAAACATATCACTTGCTGAGGAAAAACATAGCTTCCTTGGAAGTATTTAGTGAGTGAAATGCACATTGTGATCACAGATTTCAAAGATATGCATGCAAAGTCATACTAAGAAACCCTAGGGTTAAGTTCTCCAACCTTGTTAAGCCTACTTCTCATTTTTTCTCAAAGGGGGCTCAACTGCCATTTTTATGGAATTGTTCCATACATTGCAGGATGCTTATCATACTTGGTCCCTGAGCACTAAATGGCAATAGCAGACTACAACCTCCACCCACCCTTTGTGACAACCCAGTGTGATCCTACTCATTTCCAAACAACCCCTTCAAGAGTGGTTCCTCCTGATGTTGGGAACCATTGGACCTTATCTGCCCATACTTTATACAACCTATGCTTCAACTACTGCCTTTTTTTTTTCCCTTTTAACCTAGCATATTCTTTTCAGGCCCTGTCTTGCTGGAGCACTTCCATCTTTTTGACATGCTTTTGTCTCCACTTGGTAGGCCCTTATTCAAATTTCAAAATTCAATTCTGCGTTTTCCAGACTCCCTGTTTTTTTGGAGTCTTCTCTCATTTTCCCAGAAAAAATTTGACACTTCTTCCTCTGAGGACACACACATAGCAAGTGCTAGGATATTGTAGGTGCTGAGTGAATGAATGAAAAGCTTGCGGAAATAAGAAGGCACATTAATCTAGCCTTTAATGGAGACTTTGCAAGAAGAAAAATTTAAAGGGACTGTCTCTTCCGTTACAAAAAAGTCCAAGAGCTTTTTTTTCCCAAAAAATAATACTTGGTAATATATTTTAAAAACACATTGCTCTATCATATATTCAGACTATTTAGACCAGCACTGAGTCCATAACCTCTGATACAATGTTGATCTTTTTGTACCTTCTTATTTGTTGAATATCTTTGGCCAAGGTCATAAGCCTTTAGTTCCTGGTTCTGGTCTAATGAGCATATGTGCTGACTAGAGTTAGTTCTACAAGTCCCACTGTTCAAAGGCAGCAAAAGAGTTTGAGCTGATGGATCAGTTCAAATCATCACTGTCGGAGGAACAATTTCTCTCATGTGCATGCAGAGAAGTCTTGGTTTATGTAAAAAAATGATAATCTTCTTATAAAAGTAATGACACCGGTATCAGAAAGATTAGATGTCATATAAATCTGTTGTTTGAATGGGAAAAGATCCAATTGATGAATAGGCTTAAAAGTTTAGTTGAAGAAAGGTGCTATAAAGAGGTAGAGATATGTAAAATAAATTCATTTAAAATTTTGAATTTTCCTTTTGTTCCTTACAATTGTTACTTAATATTTACCGTGTGCTTAACTCTGTTATAGGTGCTAAGATATAAAATTGTAAGTCACAGGTCCTCAGCAGTTTAGACATTGCTCTATCATCTTCCGATTTTCCTTGCTGTGGAAGAGATGGCTGAGGCTACACTGGTTTTTGTTCCTTTGTAGATAAACTGTTTTTTTCTGCCTGCATTTTTGTTTTCCTTTTTGTTCTTTAAATAAAGATATTCCATAGACTACCTGTAGGCACAGGTTTCCTTCTAGCAGTTTTCTCAAACATAGTGAGTCCACTCAATTTATAGAAGTAAATCTCTTTAATCTTTCTTTTACCCAGATCAGGAAAAATTTTTCAATGGTATGTTTGCTTATGATTTCAATTCAGAAATGCCAGTTATTTGTAGGTTGGATCTGTGTTCTTTGTCCTTTCTATCAATCAGTATGCATTGTTTTCATCTTGGTTCTTTTCCTTCCGTGTTTGGAGATACCTCATGTGTATATGCTAAAATGTTAATGAGATTCTTTTCCAGCTTCTGTACTTCTCTCTTTTGCCTCTTATGTAGAGTTTGTC